AAAATAGTAATAAGTGACTGTTTGGGGAGGTTGGGTAAAAGAAGGAAAAGCAGGCAGAGGTATTCTGGTAGTGAAGAAAGAGAATGCTGCGAATGAAAGGAAAAAGGAAAGATAGTGAAAAGATTAATGTAAAGTGGACACAGATGAGAGTAACAAGATAGTATTAACAAGAACAAAAGCAGCAACAACGCCGTCGCTTAGCACAAAGAGCAGGCCTTACGCCTTAAGCAGCTCCTCATTTCTCATGGTCGACACCAGGTCCTGGTTGATGAGAAAGATAAACTTGAGCGTGCTAAACTCCACCAGCGAGTTGTTGTTGACGCGCGCCGCCGCCCCCGTCAGCAGCGGCTTCCCGTCTACGAAGATCGGCCGCTTGCCTGCGTTAAAGAGGTTAAACTCGCCCGTCGGCTCGAGGCGGATGATCGCCTGCATGCGCGAGATCTTCGAGGAGGGCCCCTCCAGGCTTAGGTCGACGTCAACGATGAAGTCCTTGGTGGAGCGGCCGATGGTCACCTCGCGTGAGCGCATCAGGTAGCGCACCAGGCGGCCGCGCAGCACCGCAAAGGTGTTGTTCTTAGTGTTCTGGTCGGCAAAGTCGCAGGGCGTGACACCGGTGAAGCTGTCCAGCAGAAACTGGTACTTCGGAATTTCGTTCTCCAGCATGCGAACCTCGAGCATGCTCTTCCGAAAGCTGCTCAGAATCTCCTGGTGGGCGGCCTCGTTGTTGGAGGACGGTGGTGGCGGTGCTGCTGAATTCGGTGTCTGCGGTGACGGCCAGGGAAGACCCAGATCTTCTCTTCCGGGCGTTTGAGGTGTACTCGATTGTGACTGATGATGGTGAGAAGTGGATGCTCCCGCTGAGGCCGTCGGTGTGGTGCTGGTGGCAGTGGAAGACGGATGCCGACGCCTCATCATCGCCTCCACCTCCAGCTCCTGCTCGACGATGCGCTCAATCTCGGAGAAGCTGACGACGCTCTCGTGGCGGGGCAGCGGCACCGGCGTCTGGTCCTCCAGCAGCTGGTAGTGGCGAAGGAGAAGCCAGTGCTTGCGCAGCAGCTTCGCCGTCCGACTGGCGAGGAAGACGCGGGCGTTGTCGCCCGTGATCAGCGCATGAAAGTCCTCCAACTTGGGCAAACTGCGCGATTCGACCTTTCGCAGGAGGGCCTCCTCCGCCTCGCTGAAGAGCGCCCGCGACTCCACCGCCTTCACCACCTCGGGGTGCAGCTGACGGATGCCCGCCAGCGACAGGTTCTTCGCCTGCACGTCGTAGAGGAGGGCGTTCCAGCGCGCCTCCAGGTCCGCCAGGCTGAACTTGATGCTGAATCGGACGCCCTGGTGAACCTTCACGAGGTCGCAGGTCTGCTCGACGTTGATAATCAGCGCCAGGTCGTCTGCCGGCTTCCAGTAGTTGTTCTCTGGCAGACCGTATCGAGGGCCGTTTGGGGGAGCGCCGGCGGCCGCCGCTGTTGCAGCGGATGCTGCCTGGTTGCCCTGCTTGCCACCTCCACCGGCGCCAGATTTCTTTTTGCTTCGTGGATTTAGCTGTAAAAAGGGCGATGACAGGAAGCCACTGGCAGGCGATGATGACGAGAGGGATAGCGGTGAAGCGGAGGCTGATGCTAAAGACGGCGGAAGAAAGCCGGCCGGCGTAGATCCCAGAAGACCTCCTCCACCCCCAGCAGACGTCGATTGCATCATAGGTGGCTGGTGGTGTTGCAGTGGAATGGTCAAGGGACCACCGTTTTCGAGATGATGATGAAGTAAGGGGTGGTGATCGTTACCAACACCACCAGCTCCACCACCACCCTCCATAACGCCCTCCATCAGCAGATCCTGATCGGTAGAGGGCGGCTTGAGCGGCTTTGGATAGGAAGTGCTCATGCTGTCCACCAGTTCATCGTCAAACTTCTTGCGCTTGATGGAGCGACCACTGCGTCGTGAGGCCATGTCGCCGCCGCCACCGCCTCCACCACTGCCACTGCCACCAGCATGGAAGCCGCCATCGTCGAGGCCCTCTTCGGCTAGGGCTCGGGCGGTCTCCGGGTCCATTGCTGGTGGGGTGATGGTGGTGATGGTGGGGCTGTTGCTGCTGTTTTCGGTGTTGTTGTTGTCGATGTGGGTGATGGTAACTGGAAAAAGAAGAGAAGGAGTAGGCAGATCACCGGAGAAAGTTGGGCGCCCTGTTTGCTGATATCTTCTGAGCTGTTTCTGGTTGGAATGAGGGAAAGTGGAGACAGCAGGCGCGATGATACAGCGCACTGCCTGAAGCTTCGCAAAGACAAAAACCACGCACAATAGCCGGGCGAGCAGCGGCAATGCGCACCTGCTTCAGTCGAAATAGTGACCAAACAAAAACTTTTCCCCTGAAAATAAAAGTGCAACTTTTGGGCTCCTCTTTCTTCGAAATGGGAATGTAAACGAATGATCATCAGATGATGCTGATGATCAGATGTTGGCCAGATGGTAATCAGATGTTGCCAGCTTTTGGCGATTTAGTAAACATGAATTGTTTGTAGTTTTTGCGGTCAGTCTGTTGGTCCAAAGCAAAACCAAGAGGACTGCTCAACTGCGATCCCAGGTAGAATCCACAGGTGCTTAGAAATTCTTCGNTTTGTAGTTTTTGCGGTCAGTCTGTTGGTCCAAAGCAAAACCAAGAGGACTGCTCAACTGCGATCCCAGGTAGAATCCACAGGTGCTTAGAAATTTGATTTTCTCATTACCGGTCATTTTCTCTTCCTCTCTCCCTCCCCGCCATCACCCTCATCATCATCATCAGTGCTCGCGGACCGCAAACGCGGACGCTTGCTGCATACCACTCTGGCAAAGTAATACATACCTTACCTCTCTCCCTCTCTCACAGGTGGGCCAAGTTCTCTCTCTTTCTGCGGTGTGTAAGAAGAGCCGCTGTCCGAAGAAGCCGACCAACAGCAGCCGCAACAGCAGCAGCCACAACATGGCGGCAAGCACTTCAGTTCTACTATTCACCTGCTCTTTACTACTCTTCAAGTGTCCACTACTACCACGGCCGCTGCTTTGCTGCATCGCTTGCGCTCGCGAGCAGTCTCTCGCCAAGCCAAGTGAGCAGAAGTAGAAGCAACAGAAAAAGCAGTACTTCTTCACCTATCGACACACCTTGAGTGGCCGCTTGAGTTCAGCGCTCGGTGATGTGTCCTCGATCATGATACGGCTTTAGTGTCGGCAGCAATCGGTGAACACTTTGTAGCAATCATAACTGATGAAGCTGTTCGGACGCCGGAACTCGGGGCCTTTGATGGCGGCCCAACTTGTTGCCATTAGCAACTGAGCTCTCCTAGCTCATCCTCTCTCCTTCTGTGCCACAACCGCATTCTTTCACTCACTCCACCGCAGCAGCATCAACAAGTGGTGTCCTCGTTATCGGCAGCAATCAAAATACCAGCAGTAGCAGCAGCAGTAGCATTGTGATATCACCACCACCAGCACTGTTCTCTCTCCCTCCCTCCCTCTCAACCCGTCTTTTTTATTGCCTCCGAGCATCGGGCGATTATCTTCTTTCCTCACGGCAACCAGCACGTGTGATTGCTGGTGGTGCTACCACAGCTGCGCCAATATTATTGTTGTCATCTGACAGTAGAGAGAGAAAGAGACGATCTCCTGATCGGTGTCCCTTTAACAACAACAACAACCCTGCTCAACATCACAGCAACAGCAGCAGAGATGTTCAGCAAGAAGAAGAAGAAGCCACTCATCTCGGCGCCCTCCAACTTTGAGCACCGGGTGCACACGGGTTTTGACCGAAAAGAAGGCAAGTTTTTGCTTTTTGTTTGTTTTTGCTAACTATCAACTTTCACTTCCTTCCCAAAACCGCACACATAGGCAAATTCGTCGGCCTACCTCCGCAATGGCTTTCGCTAATTCAGGGCTCTGGTGGCGGTGGCGGCAACCGACCGAAGCCCATCGTCGACCCTTCAAATATTACTCCGACAGAGATCATGGACATCAAGAGTCACACTATCGTCCGCGGACAGAGCAACTCAGCCATGAACACCTCCTCCTCTTCAGCGGTAAAGTTCGCCTCCAGTATCCTCAACTCCAGCGAGTCGGGCCACCTCGACCCGGCGGTCATGGCCAGCCGTAATCTGGTGACGCGGTCCAACTCGCTGCGAAGAGTGGAGACACCGCCAAATGGCTCCTCTTCAGGCGCTGGCGTTCCACTCCAACTGCAGGGCAACAACAACAGTCTCAACAACAACCATCACCACCTCCACCAACAGCAGCTCATTCGCAACAGCATTCACCAGAACACAATGTTCAACAATCAGCAGCAACAGCAGCAGCACCAAATACTAGGTAGCCGGCTTTCTGCTAACGAAGCCGCCGACGTGGCCAACGGCAACTTCATTGTAAATACGACATCGCACACCAATGCCAAGTTTATGCAAGCAGCAGCAGCTCCTAACCACCACAGTCCCAGTCACCACACTCCTTCTTCAGCCGCCGCCAACAGCAGCAGCAACCTGAACCATGCCAACATGCTCCAGCAGCAGCAGCAGCTAGCCCAGCAGGCGATGCTCATGCACCAGCAGAACTTCCAAGCGCCCCAAATAATGCCAAACAGTCGAGCCCACCTGCAGCAGCAGCCACATCCGGGACAGATGCCACCGCCCAAAGTCAACAATCTGGTGGCGAACAATTCGGCGAGCATGGTGCCGCCCTCACCACAGCACACGATGGTGCAGCAGCAGCAGCAGCCACAGCAGTTTGGCGGCAAGGCTCGCTTTGCAATGTTGCCTCAGCCACAGCAACCGCAGTTTGTCAGCAACAGCAGTCTTCAGCAGCAGCAGCAGCATAACTTTTCATCGGCGGCCACTGTCAACGGCGGCAGCGGCGGCCACCACCTTGTCAACCATCAACACCAGCACTCTAATTTACCTCAGCAACAACAGGCAGGAATGCCGCCGCAACAGCAGCAGCAACAGAAAGCACAAATTCAGCCTCAAATATCACCCGCCAGCTATACGCAGCAACAGCAGGCAGTGTCCAGCTCTGTTGGCCCGTCAGCTACCACCACCACTCAATACTCAGGCAGCAATCAGCAGCAGCAAATGATGGAGCTAAGCGCCGTTGACCAGTTGAATAATAACCACCACCATCCGAACCACGTCCATAATCCTAATCAACACCAGCAGCAGCAGCAGCCGATGATGAGCAGCAAACAGGGCAGCAGCACCAATCAGTACTTGAGCCAGGTGAACGCCAACTTTGGCAGTCTGTCTATCAGGCCGCCCTTGTCGCAGCCGATGGCGAATGGAGGAGGGCAGGTGCAGCAAATGCAGCAGCAACAGCCACAGCAGCAGCCATCAGTGAACAACAGCAACGGTAATGGCTACAATACGAGCGGTTCGACGACGTCATCACACCAGTCATCGCCGTCATCGGTGATCAATGTAAAGCAGCAGCAACAACAGCAGCAGCTAGCGAATGGAGCACTTGGCAGTTCGCTGAACAACAACAACTTTAGCAATGGAAACTCTCCCTCCAAAAGTGCCACGGCTCTGAACACTAATGGCAACCAGAACACGATGCAACAGCCTTCGATGACGACCACTCAGGCACCTCCTCCTCCTCCTCAGGTTCCTCCTCACGGGCAGCAACAACAGCAGCAACAGCAGCAGGCTCGAGTAACACATGAACAGTTTCGAGCCGCCCTGCAAATGGTCGTCAACCCAGGTGATCCGAGGTAAGTCAAACTTCAACAACTTTAAGACTTTTACTCACTATCTTTTTCCTCATTTTATGCAGAGCCTTTCTCGACAACTTCCTGAAGATTGGCGAGGGCTCGACGGGCATCGTCTGCATCGCCTACGACGGCAACACCCAGCGCCAGGTGGCGGTGAAGAAGATGGACCTGCGGAAGCAGCAGCGCCGGGAGCTGCTCTTCAACGAGGTGGTCATCATGCGCGACCACCACCACCCGAACATCGTCGAGATGTACAACTCCTTCCTGGTGGAGGACGAGCTCTGGGTGGTCATGGAGTTCCTCCAGGGCGGCGCACTGACGGACATTGTCACCCATGCGAGGTAAGTGCCAGATATAAAAGGAGGGAGGTTTCAAAGTGGTTTAATTCTTTTCTATTCAGAATGGACGAGGAGCAGATTGCGACCGTGTGCAAGCAGTGTCTGAAGGCGCTCGCCTACCTCCACTCGCAGGGCGTCATTCACCGAGACATCAAGAGTGACTCCATTCTGCTCGCCAGTGATGGCAGGGTAAGTGTGCTGTTGGCTAATGGTAAAGTGTGCTGATTTAATGCTTCATTTTTTCCATTCAGGTCAAACTGTCCGACTTTGGCTTCTGCGCCCAGGTCTCCAATGAGCTGCCAAAGAGAAAGTCCCTCGTGGGGACGCCCTACTGGATGGCACCGGAAGGTAAGAGTTTTCAGAGCTATTTTGCTTCTTTGAGCTGCTAATGACCCCACTTTTTTGCCACTTTTGCCACTGCAGTCATCTCCCGCCTGCCGTACGGCCCCGAGGTGGACATCTGGTCGCTGGGCATCATGGTCATCGAGATGGTCGACGGCGAGCCGCCCTTCTTCAATGAGCCGCCGCTGCAGGCGATGCGCCGCATCCGCGACATGCCCCCGCCGAAGCTGAAGAACGCCGCCAAGGTCAGCCCCAATCTGCTCGCCTTCCTCGAGAAGATGCTCGTCCGCGACCCGGGCAAACGGGCCACCGCCGCCGAGCTCCTCCAGCATCCCTTCCTCAGACTGGCCGGTCCGCCCCGGCTCCTCGTCCCGCTCATGAGGACTGCCGGATGAGNGGGGGGGGGAGAGTTTTCAGTTTTTGTGACCAAGCTTTTCCCCGACACTTCCACTCTCCTCCTACAACACTCACAACACCAAAGCCCGACATTAGTGAGACTTTGTTTTTCCCCTTCTCCACTATTATTTATTTTCTTACCTTCCTCTTCTTCTTTTGCCACTTTTTTCCACCTCCACTTTGTCGGGCTTCGGCGATGTGGGTATTTGGTGAGTTTGGGAAGTAGTTATAAAAAAGTGTAAATATAATTCAAGTGTGTATTTTTGTATGCTTGTGTAAAATAAAAGAGACGGTAAAATCCATGCTGATAAAAAGGGGGTGGAAGCTCATCGGTGGTGTGTTCAAACGTTGACCACCGCCTTGCCCTCCAGGTAGGACTTGTAGTGGGCCAGCACCGGACTGACCTCCTCGCGAATAAACTCCAGCACCTGGTTGGGCGCACGGCCGATGAAGGTCTTCGGGTCGAGCAGCGAGTCGAGCTCGGCGTGGATGGGCGCAAAGTAGGCGTCCTTGCGGATGCGCTCAATGAGGTCGTTGCTCTGCCCGTCGCGCTTCACCCGCCCGGCGGCCTCGTGCGAGAGGACGCGAATCTTCTCGTGCGCCTCCTGGCGGTTGCCGCCCTTCTTCACTATCGCCACGATGATGTTCTCCGTGGCCATGAAGGGCAGCTCCTGAAAAAGAAAATGGGTTAAAAAACTTTTTCAAAAAAACCCTTCCAATCAGCACCCACCTCCTTAATGTGCTTGCCAATGACGGCGGGGTAGACGACGGTGCCCTCGAAGATGTTCTGCAGCGTGTTGAGGACAATGTCCGCGGTGAGGAAGGCCTCGGCGATGGTAATGCGCCGGTTGGCGCTGTCGTCCAGCGTCCGCTCCAGCCACTGCACCGAGGCGGTGTGCAGCGCATTCGTGCTCAGCGTCATCAGGTGCCGGGCGAGGGAGCAGCAGCGCTCGCTGCGCATCGGATTGCGCTTGTAAGGCATCGCCGAGGAGCCGATCTGCGTGCTCTCAAAGGGCTCCTCAATCTCCTTCCGATTGGCCAGCAGGCGAATGTCAGTGCAGATCTTGTGCACGGCAGAGCCGAGCAGCGACAGGCCCATGAGGACCTCGGCGTCCACCAGGCGGCTGTAAGTTTGCCCGGTGACGGCGTAGGCGCGTCGAAAGCCGGCCATCTCGGTGACGCGCTGGTCGAGCTTCTTCACCTTCTCCTCGTCGCCGTTGAAGAGCTGCATGAAGGAGGCCTGAATGAAGAAAGGGTTAAAGAAAGGTTAGTCGGGTAGGTCAGAAAAGTCGTTTAGCAACACTGCTTACCTGAGTGCCGGTGGTGCCCTTGCAGCCGCGGAAGGCCAGACTGTCCTTGGCGCGTTCCATGTTGCGCAGGGCAATCATTAGATCGTGCATCCACAGACAGGCTCGCTTACCCACTGTCACCATCTGTGCTGGTTGCTAAAAATCAAAATGTAGTGTTAGTTTTATCAAGTCTCTAGTAAAAAGACAGCAGTCTTACGTAGTGGGTAAATCCCAGCGTCGGCATCCAATTGTACATTTCGGCAAACTTTGCCAGACGACTAATGCACCGGGCCACTTTGGGCAGGAGAATGTCAAAGCCGTCTCGGATGCAGATGAGGTCGGTGTTGTCGCCGACGTAGCAGCTGGTGGCGCCCAGGTGGATGATCTTCGCCGCGTTGGGGCACTTGTGGCCAAACTCAATGACATGGGCCATCACGTCGTGTCGCGTCTTCTTCTCTTCCTCGAGAGCAAACTCAAAGTCGATGTTGTCGTAGTTGTTCTCCATCTCGGCAATCTGCTGGTCGGTGATCTCAATGCCCAGCTCCTTCTCCGCCTTCGCGAGGATGATCCACAAGCGACGCCAGGTGCTGAACTTCTTCAGGTCGCTGAAGTTAAAGTTCATCTCCTCGGAGGCGTAGCGCGTCGACAACGGCGACTGGTAGCGGTTCTGGGTGAATTCAGTCATCATGTCACACATTATCCGGTGTCAATTGTCAAACAAGGGGTTCTGCAATGAGAGAAAATGAAGTGGAGCGTTAAATACTCGGTCGGTGGATGATCAATCGCCGGTGAGGGTTGATCGCGCTCGAAGGTGATTGACAAGGATGGAGATGATGAAGATGGAGAGAAGGCGAGTGTTCGGGAGTGATAGAGATGGCGACAGGCGAAACAGACCTCTGTACGGCGAGGGCACTTTCTGGTGGTATGTGAAAGCTATGGCAGAAGCTAAACACAGGAAGGCACTCGCTTGTATAGTGTGGTGGTGGCGAACAAGAGAGGAACAGGAGAGCTCTGTTATCGCAAGCTGATTTATGGTGTTGATAAGTAGAAATGCTTAAGAGTGCTGCACTCAATGATGATGAGGTGAAAACACTGCAGTGTCTGTGGTGGTGAGAAGTAGAGAAGCTATCCTCGGGAGATCACTCTTGCAGTAGGACAATAAGAGTGACAAGGAGGTTTCTGCTGTTTCGAAAGGAAACACGCTCTGGTACGATAAATGGGCTGACTGAAACGGTGGAAACTTGAAATGTGTGGCTACAGAGATATTTCTTCAAAGAAAGAAATGATGAGATTATACTCACTCTACTCTCGGCTCTTATCGCCTCTTCGAATCAGCCAGTGATGGCGGCTGGTGATGACAGTGCTGATAAGGACAGTCTTCGGCCAGTCTCACTTTCTCGAGGTGACGATGTGCTTTCACGCGCTTCTGCTGCAGCAGAAAAACAAATGTGAATTTTCGTAACGGCATTTTTGCCGGAAAATCGGGTCAATCGTAGAGGACGGAAGTCACAGTTTGTTTTCGCGGATTTTTTTTGCTTGTCCATCTGTTTTTCATCTTTTTTCTCTAATTTCTGAACTGGTCACTTTCCTGTGGTTTGGATTATTCTCCTCCATTGCTGCCATTTTGACTAGAGAAAGTGCCGGAGGTGATGATCACGACAGGGTGAGGGTTTGTGATTTCCAGTTTTCTTCTTTCTACTTTAGCTGTTTGGGTGAATTGATTGTTTATCGCGTTATCTCTTTCGTTTACTTTTCTGCTACCAATCGGACATGATTGAAACTTCATTTTCTGCCGTACACTATTTTCAGCTTGTATTGCCGAACACTAGGTGAAGACACGGGCTCCCGAAAAAGGCTTTCAAAGCCTACCACAACTTGTACAAAACGTCAAAAGCTGGTGCCACATAACTAGGCACAGTAAAGCGCACTATCGGAAAACCTAC